CGGTCTTTTAGAAATAGCAGACAGAGGGCCTGTGGGGTGTCAGATGTCGACAGGGACCAGTTGCTGGAGTCTCAGCCTGGGCCGCCTCTCATGCTACAGCAGCTGTGTCTTCTCAGACCTCACATTCCTGCAGGACAGGCCCACTTTACTCTCATCACCTGTGCTGATCTGAGGGCAGGATGAGCTCTCAGGGGAACCTCACAGCTATTATGAAAGGAAGACTGATCTAGAACAACAATTACAAATGTTTTTACGAAGTCAAAAGACAAATAGCAGCATCATATTAAGATGTCTGGCACTAAAAACCACAGAAATCCAGTCCGAAATCTAACAGAGGTATTATATAACCGTCACACAAACACAGTGAGATGATCAGAGGCACTGTGGTGGTTTAGGGTTTATGACAATGTACTGTTCTCACTTTGAGTCCAGCTGGGGACCCCATCTCTTTCTACTCTCATCTGAGCTCCACACACACAATGCAGGCAGAAGCCTCTGCAGAAACGCTTCTGTGCCACCATACAAGATAAACACAAGAATCCATCCAGGTGCACTGAAGCTGCATATTGCACAGAACCAGGATGTCTAGTGTTGTAAAATCAGTCTGAAGTCGACTCTCTGTCCACTGACTGAGACGCACACCCATGATTCAGCAGCTTCTTCACCCCATTAGACCTCCTCGTACAATTAGGGCTGCTTTGCAGTCTGTACTGCTTTCACTGCATTATAAGCTGTAGTGCCTGACCTCCACTAAATAATACATGTAAACATTTATCCCTCCCTGCTGCAGCCAAACACTCAGACTAGCACAACCCTTCCTCATACACAAAATACCAGATTATGGTGCTTTAGCAAATGAATTAGTTGAATTGCTGTATAAGGTTCTGTTTTAATACTACTCCTGTATGTGCACCAATGTTGTTGCTTTTTGTTTGTCTTGCTTCTTTCTTTCTTTCAATGCATAACAGCATCACCCTGTCCAGTGACTACAGATAAAGATTAGCCTTTTGGCTAAATCTGACACATTTATATCATACTGATCGGAGCTAGTCAATTAATTGATTTGTCAATCGAAAGAAAAACTCGTAACTATTCTGTTAATTGATTGGCTGTTTCAGTTATTTTTTAAGCAAAATGGTTGGTTGGATAAAACAAGCTACTTTCTGAGGTTTCAAAAGACTTAAACAATGAATCGGTTAATTGAGAAAATAAGCAGCATATTCATTGATACTAAAAAAAATAATCTGAATTGCCCCTAGGGAATAAATAAAGTATCTATCTCCCTAATATTGATGCTAATGAATGTGTTTAGTCCCTGATAGTATGAGTGAATAGAATTGAATAAAATAAATCCAAACAGGATTCATCATCTTACAGAGCTGTGATTCTCCAGTGTCTCATTTCAGAGGGACAATATTGGTGTCTTTAGATGTAGAGCAGACACTGTAGTCGCAATGTCACTGAGCAGCAAACTTTTTACAAGCCTTCACACCAAACACACACACACACACCTCTGATTATGACTAGTCAATTCAACAAAAGCATCGGGTGAGCCCATACACACCTTAACATCATGGTAACAGAGAACAGTGTTGCTAATGAGTGGAGATTAAAAGAACAGGTTTCTTACACAAACTAAAACTGATTCATGGATCCAGTGGCTGCTGCTTCCAGCCCCAAAGACCCTCTTCCCACTGCGGGGCAGCCCACACCACACCAGAGCCTCACTACAGAACATCACACACTCTTACCTCCAGACGTGAACGCTGAAGTAAACTGGAAGTGGGACTCAAGTTTTTCGTCTCTTCTCGGGATGGGTTGTGGACCTTGTAGCCAGACAAAATGTCTAAGTCTCTATTTAATTCCTTGCATTCCCACTGAATTAATATGCCTTCTTCTCTCTCCCGCTGCTCGCCGAACAACTGCTCGAAATTCAAGTCCGCGCTGAACACTTGCGCATTTTTTATACATATATATCCGAGCGAGTTTGAATGTAATTACAAGGCAGTGCCTCGCAGCTCGGTGACGGTCGCTGAAAACTCCTCTCTGCTTCTCTAATCAGTGCGGCCACTCTCAAGCGCGCTGCCGTGCGCGTTCACGAAGGTCCTGGGCGGGGAGAAAAACAGAGGCAGGACGGAGCGAAATAACAGGAAGTAGGCAGAAGCTAATGTACACAACGCGCACCTCATGTTTCTGGAACATTATTTTAATCGAATATAAGCAGCTATTTTGAGTTGATACAATGACTTGACGGGAATTCGGCTGATTTCTACATACGTAATTGTCTCTCCTCTTATACAAGTGTGAAATATAAGTAGGTACATTTAATTTTCTTTACTTGAGTATTTTCCTTCAGCTACTTTCTATTTCTACTGCACCACACGTCAGAAGGACTTTCTACTGCAGTACATTTATCTGACAGCTTTCAAAAATTAAAGGTTTACATAGAAAATATATAAGGATCTTATGAAATATGATGCACTGATGTAGATTAAACTCAGTATTATAGTAGTGTAGTGAACAGTACCCAATAGCAAATAAAATTAGAGCTGATATGATGCGTCAATTAAAAACATACTTACAATTTTTAATAATAAGTGAACTAAAGTGAGTGTTTTAATTGTTTTAGTTATTTTTCATGTAAAAACGTGAAACATTTAACGGTTATAGGCTACGGTATACGGTATAATTAGCAAATTAATAATTAAAATAATCATCAATTGCCTCATATAAAATTGTTAATAATTACCGTCACTAAAAATGACAACAATTACAAATGTTGCTTACACATTAATGAATGAGTATTGAGGGACGATTTTTCTTCTTACTTTTGAAACTTGAAGCACATTTGATTGATTATGCGTACATACTTGTACTATTCGGTGACTTAAATGCTGGACTTGTATTTCTTAATGAAGTATTTTTACAGTGTTGTATTAGTACTTTTACTGAACTAAAGAATCTGGATAATTCGTCCACCACTGCCAATTTCTTTTCAATGCTCAGGTGTTACGAAACAGACAGTTACCCTTCCAGTAAAAGCACTGCGCAAGTACCCGGATGAAACCAGCCAATCACGGCCAAGCTTGTCTCCTCCCAACTGTCGCGAAATGTTTACGGTCTCAAACCTGTAGCGGTTTACGTTAGTCATTGCAATGAGGGACAAGACTGCAGTTTTCGTGGTTCTTCTTATTTGAATGTGTCTTTTAAAGGTATGGACATTGAACGAACAGCACGTAATACAATTTGACAGTACACGGGTTATTTTCTGCGGGCTAAAATCACGGTTTAGCCGAGTTGTTTCTCTTCGTGTGCTGATGGAGAGAGTGGCGGTTAGCTAGCTCGTGCTAACCGTTTCAACGGTGAACTATAACGCATTGCAGTAATGTGACTCCGCAGTGGCTTCACCCTCCGTAGTTTGTCAGTTATAGCCGAAAAAACGGCCATGGTAAATATCTGAAAGTAACACTACAGCTCTAAATAAATTAATCCAGTTCCTTGTAACAATCCACACCATTGAAACAAACCTGGATCTTTCTGTGTTGGCTTCAGTCAGCGGTGGACGAAGTATCCAGGTCCTTAGGTGAAAGTATTAAAAATGCAAACAAAACTCATTTTATCAAAAATAAAAGTACTCACTGAAGAAAAATGGACCCTCACTACAGATGCATTAATGTGTAAGCATGTGTTATTTTATTAAAGATGTGAAAAACAAAAAAGCTAAAGAAGACATTTCAATATTTCAAATGAGCATAATTTATTTTAACTTTAAGGTGAACATCAGTGAACAGGCTTATATTTCAGTTTTCTTCACAACAGCACAAGTTTAAAGAGATTAGTGTTTTTGGATATTTTCTTTCTTTTTTTAATTAGAAGAAGTTAAAACATATTTACTTATGGGTATGTTTCATATATAGTTGAGGAGAAAGTATTTTATCTTAAAATAATTTCTTAGAGGTTAAGTTATAAGTCATAAAATATTAAACTAGTAAAAGTTGCCTAACCTAAAAAGATGTCATATTACAGTCAAAATATCATTTTGAAATTACTACTTTAATCTGACCAACAGTGTAATTTGATTACTTCTCTTCTATTGACCAACTACGACAGAGCTGCAAATATCAATTATTTTCATTATCAGTTGACCAGTTACTTTCTTTATTAATCGATCAGCTGTTTGTTCTATTAAATCTAAGGATTTAGTTAAAAAAATCCACATCAAATCACAGCTTTCACATCTTCAGATTGCTTGTTTTGTACAACCAACGTAGTTGCTGATTATTTTTCTGGTGATTGACTAATCAATTAATCAGATAAACATTCAACACTAAACTCTTCCTCTTTGTTTTTCAGATTGACACTCCCTGACCGTGTAGGAGGATGGACCCTGTAGTGTTGAGCTATCAGGACAGCCTGCTGCGGCGCTCTGATGTGTCCTTACTGGAAGGACCTTACTGGCTCAATGNCGTTTAAAGAGATTAGTGTTTTTGGATTTTTTCTTTTTTTAATTAGAAGAAGTTAAAACATCTTTACTTATAGGTATGTTTCATATATAGTTTAGGAGAAAGTATTTTATCTTAAAATAATTGCTTAAAGGTTAAGCTATAAGTCATAAAATATTAACCTAGTAAAAGTTGCCTAACCTAAAAAGATGTCATATTACAGTCAAAATATCATTTTGAAATTACTACTTTAATCTGACCAACAGTGTAATTTGATTACTTCTCTTCTATTGACCAACTACGACAGAGATGCAAATATCAATTATTTTCATTATCAGTTGACCAGTTACTTTCTTTATTAATCGATCAGCTGTTTGTTCTATTAAATCTAAGGATTTAGTTAAAAAAATCCACATCAAATCACAGCTTTCACATCTTCAGATTGCTTGTTTTGTACAACCAACGTAGTTGCTGATTATTTTTCTGGTGATTGACTAATCAATTAATCAGATAAACATTCAACACTAAACTCTTCCTCTTTGTTTTTCAGATTGACACTCCCTGACCGTGTAGGAGGATGGACCCTGTAGTGTTGAGCTATCAGGACAGCCTGCTGCGGCGCTCTGATGTGTCCTTACTGGAAGGACCTTACTGGCTCAATGACCAAGTTATTGGTTTTGCCTTCGAGTACTTTGCTGCTGAGCGCTTCAGAGTCCTGGGAGGGACAATCATCTTCATCAGCCCGGAGGTCACCCAGTTCATCAAGTGTGCTTCTTGCCCTGATGAGTTAGCCCTATTTCTGGAGCCGCTGGATCTTGCCTCTCGTCGCTGGGTCTTCCTAGCTGTTAATGACAACTCCAATCAGACCGCTGGGGGATCCCATTGGAGCCTTTTGGTCTACCATCACAACTCCAACCACTTTGCTCACTATGACTCTCAAAACGGCAGCAATTCACTGCACGCACGGCGCATCGCCAGCAAGTTAGAGCCTTTCTTAGGTGCTGGGAGAAAGGCGCTGTTTGTGGAGGAGCCCTGCCCTTCACAGCAGAACAGCTATGACTGTGGCATGTACGTTATCTGTATCGCTGAGGCCTTGTGTGAGAAGGCCAGGGTGGAGGGTTCACCGCGCCTCCCTGTGCAAATCATCACTCCAGCCTACATCACCCAGAAGCGGGCTGAATGGTGCAGACTGATCCAGAGTCTAGCTCAGAATGATCTCTGCTGCTCTCTGTCTTTTCCTTAGCACGTTGATTGCCCCTCAGTATATGCAGAACAGCTGTCAGCCCCCACATATCTACTGCTGGAGCATTGGAATGCACTCCTTCAATACAGTATTTAACTATATATGAAGTATATTTCTATTACAGTCTCTATCATACTCCACAAGAGAAATACATTTAAAAAATAAAGCAATGTTACGAATCTTTAATGATTCATTGAACAGTTGGTGTCATGTTTATCCCTTGTATATGCACAGCAACATACAGTATGTAAACAAGAACACCAGCATGCCTATGAAAGGAATCCCCCACCCACCCACCCCTTGTAGATATTGGAGGATGAAGAATATGTCATGTGGAAGAGGAGACACACACTTTCCTTTTCCTCCATTTGATTAGTTTGGAGCGAATGTAGAAATGTTTACACAGATTATTGCTCAGGGTCATTTTAAATGAACTAGAATTGACAATAAGAATGTGCATCTTAACTTTGGCTCCTATTTTATGTCACGTGTTCTGGTCACTTTTTTTTTTTTTTTCTAGTATGAACAGGTGTGATGTCTGCAACTACAAACTTTAAGTTTTGAAACAGTTCAAAGAAAAGTGCTGCATGAGAGTAGGATGTGCACCGAGTGTTGCGAGTGGTGGAATGTATGTTCTCACATAAAGCAAATGTCAAACTCATCGTCTGTTGACTTAATAAATTTTACTGTTGTCACACTTTTGTTGACAAAATGCTACATTTGCTTTGTGGTTTTTAATTTGAGGTCTCAGCTGTCTTCTCTTCATTGACTTCAAAATTGTATTAATAGAAATAAATTTACATTTTCACTAAAGTTTCCATCAGCATTCGAATACACAGTTACCTCACTAAAGAAATCGATTTGCAGGTTTGTAGATGCACTTTTACTGAAACTTTTGATGAAATGTCTGTTTCAGTGTTTAGCCTGAATAAAGATAACTGACAGGTTTAGATACAGATGTGAACCAACATGCAATAGGGAAGACAAAAAATACCTCTCAATTTTATGGATATTACTACAAAAAATGTGTTACCAGAATGTTATCCCATGGTAAACTGCTTTTAGATACCTTACTTTGGCGATTTCCCCATGTTTGAAATATCTATACTCTGGTGAGTGTTTTAAAATCCTTCAATAATAATCCAAAATTCGCCTAAAATTAAAGAAAATAGTAGAATTATCACACGAATAACATTTCGTAGACTAAATGGATTCAAAATAAATAAACAAGATTAAGAATCTGACAAAACAAACTTTAAGTACCTGAGTTTTTGATTGTTACAAACAATTCAGTGAGTACTCAGGCCTCCCGTGCAACAGCTTAACGTTCAAACATCTCATTGTTGTGGTTGGAAAGAAAGGAACATAATACTCACAAAAGTTCAATGGCATGATGGACTGCAGCAATAAAAAGCTGAAACACATTACAGGCAAAGTGTAAACTTCACTGTGAGCCTGTTGTAAGAAATCTGTAGCAGTTAAGATGTTCAGGCAATAACCTGACTACATGAAAATGGACTCGCCAAGTTAATTGACCACATACAGTGTATAATCAGGGATACCATCAGTAATTGTGTGTCAGAAAAAAAAGCCCTGCACTTATTGGACGGTTTCCACCCTCCTCTCTTTCCCTCCTCTGGCATCCTGTGTTCATCTACATCCCACAGGCATATTTCATCTGGAGTAACCAGTCGGACGAGCCATCAGGGTTTACTATTGTCCTCATAAAATGCCACAAAGCTGGGGCATGCACCACGCTGGCAGCACACCACATTAGTGAGACAAAGCACCCAAGGAAGGACACATTAATTTAGACTAATTTGCTACTTAATCGCCACAATTTGTATCAAGTCATTCTTCATTTGGGCTTACAAAGAAACTGAACTTGACTTCCGGTCAGGTACTCTTAACAGCTGCCACGCCAGATCATCTAGATAGATAATCTTAGAGTCAGCTCAGACCTTGGTAAAACTGCATTTTCTTATTGTGCAGCCAGGGCTCTGGAAACACTGCCTTCATATGAGGCATTCAAACACTGCATTCAAAGAAATGTAATTGTTTTGTCTCTTGTCACTCAGGCTTTGTTTTGTTGCCATTAGATGGAATGTTTGTTATTTAACAATGTGACACTTATTTTGTGTTGTCATTTTGTCCAGATCTCTCTTGTAAAAGACACAATGAATCTCAGGAGACTATGGTTAAATAAAAAAAATTAATCAAAAGTAATTTGGAAGAATATTACACAGGGACATATTGTAATGTTCTGGATAATCTAAACTGAGACGGATAAACATAAATCCTAGGAAATCCTGTACCGTGCTCTTTGCTCTGTTGGCAAATAATACACATCTCTCTGTGGCGTAAAACAAAGCATCTTAGTATCTGTAGCTTTATTTAGCAATAAAACAACAGTGGGGTTCTTGATAATCTCGGTCCTAATCAGAAAACAGGTCATTCTTCACCTGCTGGACCCAGGTTTGAGTCTCTGTCTCCTAGCTCTGCCCCTTACTACTCATGTACATGGATCACAGCTATGCAGTGAAATGAAGGCTGAAGACAGCAGTTGGTCTTTAAAGCCTTTTACTGGAAGCAATTATGAAACTTTGAAAAACAGTGTTGGACAACAAATTTGAGGACAGTGATTAGCGCAAGTTCAAAATAATTCTCTCTTGATCTAAATGCTATTTCAACTCGGTTTGACTTGAATATACACTCCGAAACACTTTCAACATGTTTTCTACATCCAGTTTGAGCTGAAACTATTTAAGTATACATATGGCTTTCATTTATGATCAGATGTGCAGACATACACCTTCATTTATATACATAAAATGAACAGAAACACAGAGCTCCATTAGTGAACTCACTCACCGCTGTTCTTAATCAGGGTTGTGTGTAATTGATTTCAGGAGTAGCAGCCAAGGTTTCGCCTCGGATCTCCAGGTGGTTCATATTCGCTCATCAGATTCAACTCCTCAGGCCTGGAGGAGGTACATACATACATTCTCACACACACACACACACACACACACACACACACAGGCCATGCAACTCCTAAGCTCAGACTTGTGTCTGGCCCGTCAAAGTAAAATCTGTTTTGGGAGTGTTGAGAGTGTTTTTGTACATTACATCATCTCCTGTCACAACACATCTGCAACCAACTACAACAACTTGGAACCATTTTAGATTAATTTACAGCAGCCTGCGTGAGAATCAGTTTGATTAAAACAAGCAGCATCCTATCAAGAGGCCTAAACCAGCACAGTTACATCCTGGTTTCCAGGTGTGCACTGCACGGTAACACATCTTTCTTGCTCAGGGCGTTTAAGTAGGTCAGGTCAAAATCACATCTCATCAGAAATTAAACGAGAAAGGCAAGAATTAGATGCACCACTGCATGTGCAGCACGATTCCCGTGATATAAGGCTTACCGTTGTGCTCCATGTTAAAACACTGTACCAGTGAGATTCAGAAGTGCCAGCCAGGCTTGTCCATCCCACCTCCATGGATCATTTAGTGGACTAGAGTTGTTATGAGAGTCAGTCATTGTATGAGCACTTTAACTTTAGTGTTCGGTCCCTGAAGGAAACAGTTGGAAAATTACAACTCTTAAATCCAACAAAGACAGTGCAGAGAGTTAGAAACTAGAGTCACCAGCTTCAATATGGGAAGTATTACACAGAACCAGCAGGACAAGACCATTAAAAACACATTTGGAGAAATCTGTGAATAGTTATTAAGGTGAAAGTAATGATTGACTTTTATCAACCTCTGCTGGCAACTAGGGAATTGGAGCAATTTCTTTTCTAAAGTCCTGTAAGTTGGCTAATAACTCATATTAATAACTTCCAACTCCCATTTTTATATTAACATCAGCCAGCAGCTGGTTCGCTTAGCAAGGGGGAGACAGCTAGCTTAGCTGTTTCTTAGCGGTAACAAAATCCACCTACCAGTACCTGTAAACCAAAACTTTTTACACTTTAGTTTTTGTACAAATGACACAAGAATGATACAATGTGTTGATTATGTAGCTTTAGAGGTCCTGGTAGGCAGATTATGTTATCGTCAGACACAGCTAGGCTAGCTGTTTCCCCCCCCCGTTTCCAGGATTTGTGTTAAATTAAGCTAACCAGCTGCTGACGTTAGCCTTACATTTACGGTACAGACATGAAGGTTAGAAAGAGCATGAGCATATTTCCAACCAAATGTCAAACTATTACTTTAAGTCTTTAAACTATATTACACATTAGAACAAGAAATCATTCTGTCTTTAATGGCTCAATAGACTAAAACATGTAAAAATGAAAGCAAAAATGAAATGAAACAATAAGTTTCTTTCACCACTTGTGTCTTCTTTAAACAACTGTAGCCTGTGTCACTTGGTGGACTCTTAACCAAAGCCATTGATTCTGTGGAAAGTGAATACACACTGAGTTATGAGGAACCGCAGATCTTTCAGCAAAGGAGATGCTGTGTTGAATTAGTTATTGCTGGAAGGAAAAAGAAAGAGCTGATGAAGTGCAGATGCTAAGAGAGGCAGAGAGAGGGGAAAAGATGAGAGTGAAGAAGAAAATGAAAAAGTACAGTAAATTTAATTCCATGGCAATGTTCATATAGACAACAGTTAATCCAACCATGAAGATTCAGACATTCACAGCTGTGTCTCCTCCACAGGGACTGTAGTTATAACAATGATGGTATCATCAGACTTGCACTAAAACAGACTGAAACCAAAGACAGAGTTTGTCCAATGAAAAATTATCATTCCTTTACAGAAAAAGTCCCAGAATGCCTTTCAGCACCTCTCCAGAGAATGGGTGTGAACGTGTTGCTCTCAGTCAATGGTGGGCATATAGATGTATAAATATAGTAAAGCTATCCAACTTGTTTGTGAACACAGGGGTGTGTCTGTGGTCACAGCCAACCTCTGTTAATCAAAACACAGCTTAACATGTGGTTGCATTGCATTCTGGTCCTTTGAGGTCCTCTGGCAGGAGAGAAATGAAATGTTTAACCAGAGTTTTACCATTAAGACAGCTGACTATGTTTTTACCATCAAACGCAGTTGTAGTCTAGAATGATGTAATTCTTTTTTCTTGGCTGGTTTTCCATGAAAATAAGAAAAATGTAACGCTAAACTGAGTTAGCACTGATCTTTTTACTTAATGCTTAATTGTAGTCATGTATTATTAAAGAAAAAATGTTCTCTAATGCCATTTCTTAGGCCTTGTCTGGCGAAATTATAGTATAATGCATGTACATCCATCTTACTTTTTATATTAGCCTTTTTCATAATTCTATTTCATAAACATGCATGAATTTATTGCCCCAGTGTGGAATATTTCCATAAGATGTATAGCTTTTGTAATGTAATGTAATATTCTCTCTGGATATTTGGTTCCAGTGTATACCAGAAAAACACAGCACCTCTCACTTCATAAATGGATTAACTGTAACACTTGGATTGTGCTCTGAGCAGACGTGGACACATTTAATGCATCACTGAGGTAATATGTTCTTGGAAAACCTCCAGTAATGCAGCCTGGGTGTGATGATTTTACTGTGTGTAATGCAGACCATTACCGTGAAGTTACAGTCAGCATTCTCCTTCACACCAGAGAGGTCAGAGGTCACCCGGAGAGCATTCCAGGACAGACAATACGGCTCTCTGGAGGTATGGACGAGGCT